AAAATGGTATGAAGATGCTGCTGTCCTGTGGCCCACTTGCAATCTGCCACATTTTCAGGATGATGAATGAAAATGCTATTCTCCTTGCCCTCACACACCTCGTACTGCAAGATCCACAGGGCCTTTCTGGTGTGGGATCACTGTCCTCTTCCTGTATGAGCTACTGCATAGATCAAATGGGGTTTGGGGTGAGCTGTAACACATTAGGCTAATGAGTGTTAGCAGCTTATAAATATGAAGTGGGTTAGACTACAGTGTTTAGTGTTTGCTACAGATTAAGTAATACAACAAATCTAAGCTAAAATTAGATATTTTCTTATATATCTCAAAAAAAATTCTTGGATTTTATAATATGTTATAGTTATGGGATTGTCAGAGAAAGCAATACCAGTGTTTGGAGCTCTAGTATTATGATGATGAGCATCAGAATTCAAAAACTCTAAGAGAAAGTAAGAGATTGGAGCTGATTCTGAGTAATCTGTTTACAGATATTTTACTCCCCTTGAGCAGTCTCCACTGATGATCCTCTTTTGTCAATTATGCGTCATACAATGGACTTGCCCTCATGGCTTGATGCTCCAAAGAGAGGTGGGGGGTTGTATTTGGTAGGAACTGGAAAAAAAAAGAGAAGGCAACAAGAAGGGAGGAGGAGAAGGAATGAAGATAGGCTAGGAGGCAGAGGAAACAGGCTGAGCTTTCTGAAAGTGATTAGGTCCAGAGGAGGAGAGATGTGGGGAAGATGGGCAGACATAAGAGGAATTGGGACAAATAGGGATAGCATCAGAATAAGAATAGGGAAAGGACAGGAATGCGTGAAAGATGAACAAGAACTAAGTGAGTGCAAAGCACAGTGTTTCTGCCCACCACTGAACTCAGGGCTTCACTGCAGCGTGCACAAATACCTGTGAGATCCCCTGACTGCACATGCGCATCACGCTGGTGTTTCCTCGCAGAGGATGACTGGCTGCAGCTGCTATTTTTATGGGTCATGGTAATACCTATACTGAGCCCTCCTGCTGGCCCATCCAAGGGTCAGTCTGGTTCCATCTGGAAAACACACTGACACTGCAAAATCAAGTGTTCAGATGTTGAAGCTCACGAGTACGAGGGTTTTTGGTGTAGTGTCTTTTATCTCCCCTTTTGTGTATGTGATGTGTTTGACATACTCTTTAACAAGATATTGTTAGACTTCCTCCTCTGCCCCTGGATGTGTTATTCTGGGTTCTGTAACAAAGGAGGCTATAGTCTGCAGGACTTCTGCCTCCCTGGCTGCCAAAGTGGGAAATACAGACCTTTGAATAATGCTGATAAGGGGGTTTCTGGGGATTGAACAGAAATACAAGATGTTGAGCTAGGGTGAGGAGAGAGACGAGCCCAACAGTCTGAATAATTTTTACAAGGACATCCTGATGAAGCTAAGGGATAAAAGAAGGGATCTTGAAGGAAATAATGGCTGAAGAAATTCCAGCACTGCCCATTGCACTTTGAAGGCATTTAAAGAATCAGCAGATGCTGCCCAGAAAGATTTACCTAGTGTCTGAAGGGAGCCTCAGGAAGAAGGCAGCTGATCTGACGTTTAATACAGGCAAGGCTGCCCTGTAGTATTTGGCTTAAAGCCCTGCCTCTGCGACAGTATTCCTTGGTTATATTAATCTTTTTTTTTTTTTTTTTTTGGGGGGGGGTCACATTGATGGCTAATTGTTCATTCTTTGTCTTCTGCATGCAATAATTTGCATTATTTCAAAGCCTGATTCGTCCTTGACTGTAGGACAGGAGAGCGAACGGGAAAGGAAAGAAGAAAGTTACTTTACCTCTCGTCCAGAGCTGCCTACTGGCTCTGGCATTGTGCCTAGTGTGCCAGGGGGAGCTGGAGTCATGACTCTCTTCTCTCTCCTCTTGACTCCAGTCTGCTCAACTGGAAAGTATAAAGTGCCCAGGCCCAGAGCTCTCCGTCGGAGCTAGCTGTGCAACCTGAGCCTAGCTCATAGGGGCAAAGGGGTCAGTGTTCAGGAAACTGAAGACAAAATCAAGTCCTTGGTCAGCTTCTTCTGCTTTCAATTTCATTCCGATTGTTCATAAAGCTCTTCCCATCACAAACAAAAGGGCACTATTTTATGGTGCTATGTTATAAAATATCTTGTTTATGCATCTCAAATGTTTTGATAGAAGGATGTCTTTAAAAAAAATAGTTGTTCTATAGCAATTTCTTCTGATTTATTAACAATTAAAGTATTCATCCACGCAATTGCTGGTTGAATATCCACTTTTTACCAAATCTTCAGGGACCCTTCTTGAATTTGCCAAGTAAATGTGAGACAATTCATTTTCTGAAACCTTTTCTGTCAATGACATTGTTGTTATAGGTGGTGTGGGTAGCTATATTTGTAGTTAAGGCTGCCTCACGCTTTCCGTTACCAATCCTATTTCCTTATTAATGTGAATATACAAGTAGTGACATGGCACCTGGGTCTGGAAACGTTCGCAGGATCACATTTTTGCTGAAAAAGAGTCAACTGCTATAAGCTGACCCATCACCATGGACTTCATTGCAGCTACTTCAGACTCCAGCAGTTTAACATTTAGCCTGTGGTAATTTTGTTGAAAATCAATGGATCTACTCAGTCAGAAGGATGATGCTAGGCAGTAAGTGTTGGGTTCAGCATTTGTATTACCTAGAAGTAAAGCTATAAGGACACGCTCTCTTTGGCTGGCCTCATCAGTATGATGGACAGAAATAATTTTCCATTTGTCCAGGTGAGCAGAGAATAATTTAGTCTTTCTGAAAGACACTGTTAGGGAGAGAAAGAAGAGGTTCTCTGCTCATCTCCAGAAACAAACTGACATATCTATCTAGCAGTCAGTAGAGATGGATCAATTTATTCTTAGGAAGTTTGAGAGTTGTGGTTGGAAGTGTTTTATTTCTCATGAGTTTGGTAATAGACTAATAAAAGTAGAACCCCATGCCCATTATGTCTACGTAAGTAGTCAACCCCCCAGATTTTCTGAGGTCCTTGGGTAGAAGAAAGGTATGAAGTGGGGAAGAAGCAAAGACCTTGCCTTACAGTCTGTGAAATCTGAGTGGTGGATAGGCCATACCTACTTCTATGAATACAGGCAAATCACTTTTTTTGCAGCCTTTTTGAAAATCGTTTGCATAAAGACGTTTAAAATGAATTTAAAACATTTGACCCATATTTAGAAGATGACTGAAAAGAAGGAAGAGAGCTTGATATATCAACATTTCAGAGTAAAAGGCAGAAGCAGTCTTTTGTCAATACTGGGGATTAGCAACTAAAATAGCTCAATCTTTAATCCAGGAAATTACCTAGTAAAATGAGACTAGTTAACATATGTAGGGCACTTAAAATATTTAAAAGAGTAAGGGGTAGATTTTCAAATGTATTTATGTGTCTACTAGATATAATTTTTTCCTATAGGTGATTAATGTTTTTCTAAAATGCTTATGCTATTTGCTCGCAAAGGTTAAATAGGAGTTAGATCTCATGGTGGGACTGAGAGGACTACTAGATGCTCTTCTTCATCTCAGTGCACTTCACTGCCACTGACAACCAGTTCAATATCCTGATACTGTCATCTTGTAAACTGAAGCCTGTGTCAAGAGGAAAAGAATGTGACATTCTCTGTGCAGCAAATGAGTAGGCAAAAGCAGAGAGATGGTGGATATGATTTTTGATCAGATCGAGACCATTTTGGTCATAGTTACCTAAAAATCATGTTATTGTTATTATAGTGATCTGATTGCAGGGCAGGACTAGAAGTCCCAGTCAATGCATCACAAAAAATGCAGAGGATAAAGAAAAAGACTCAAAGAGCTTGAATCACCCTTGTGTAGTGAGAAACACAAGCATCATGAGGAGCAAAGTCACCGAAGGAGATGGAGCTTAATGAAATATTTCTCTATATATATCACATTTGTCTGTGAGACGGTGTACTTTCTAGCTGGCCCATGGGTTCATTGGAATAGTTAAAAAATTATTTTCAATATATCATGTTAAAATTTAAGCATACCTTCAAATCAGAGGATCTAGTTCTCATCCTTGACTGTAAATGAACACAAAGGTTTTTGTTTATTTACTTTCTGTGTCAAAGTGTTTTTTTCTGCTGAAAGTAATCTCAAATAATAAATGTACTTTTTTATATAACTTAAAATAACATCTTAATACTACTTCTGTTATTCAAAGCAGCTAATTGTTTGTAATTATATGATCCCAAAATCTTAGTTTGTTAAAATTGTTTCTCCTCCCCACACAGAAAAAAAAAAAACACAGAGGAGAAATCTTGAAACAGATTTCTATCAAATGCAAAAAAGTAAACAGAACTAAGAAAAAGAAACTTTTAAAATATTTCCATTCTAGTAAAACTATGTTTTATCTGAGGCAATAACACCTGAAAAATTAAAAGAGAAATTTAGTTTGTATGATAATGTTCCTTTAGGCTTACTCTCATTTATCTGCGCTCTTTATCTGACAATACTATGCAATTCTAGTATTTACTGTGTGTTTTTTTTCTTTCTTTAAAGACTAAGCAGTAAGAATGAAGACTGAAAATGGACCTCATACATAAAACAAACACTATCTATCTATTTAGAAAAAGACTTGATGTTTATGTTTCCTTCCTTTGCTTTTCCAAAACAAAACCTAAAAATGTGTGTCCTATGACCAATTATTTGAGTTTTTATATTCTATAGGTTTGTTGCTATACCTAAAGCTTTCATTGGTACTTTAATGGGAGAGCATTTCGTGCTATTTTATTGTTGTCTTTTCTGTCTCTGTTCTGATCAGCTAATGCACCCAGAGAGCAGCTGGTTTGCTCACACCTTCTGTCTTTGTAGGATCTTATCCCAAAAAGCTAAGGGGGGATGAAGAGTCAAACTGCAGAGGCTCTCAGATTTGACTGTGATCCTTTAAACTTTAAATAAGGAGCTTTGGATAAAAATTGTAGATTTCTGACAATAGCACTTCTTTTTGTTCCATTTTTAGGCTTACTTTAACCTTATCCTGTCCCATGGACTTGAAGAATTTTCCTATGGATGTACAGACATGTACAATGCAGCTAGAGAGCTGTGAGTGTCCACTTGCATTACCTAGCCAAGAACAAATATTACCATAACTTCTGGTGGTTAGGTAGTTTCTACATTGTTTTGTTTGTGTAGTGAGACTTAATATTCATAAATTGTAAGGGAAAATCATGAAGGAGGAGTTCTTTAGCTGTCCATTGCCTTGTATTGCCAGTCCTTGTTCTGTGTGCTGTCCTGCCTCCCTTCCCTCTCCTTCTTCCGTTGACCATTACATGTCCAATCAGGATTGCATCTCTTCTCGATGTAACCACAGCAATGCTGTATATGAGAAAATAAATCTCAGGAAAGTAAGAACAATGAGTATACAATTAGAGATTAGCTATGTCCGATCAAGACATGCTATGGTCCTTTGAAAAATGCAAGCAACATATTCAGTGAAAAACAGGTCCTATTCGCTTAATTTATGCTAGTAGACTAAGCATGGCCAAGGTATGGACTTGAGTACTAGCACACAGTCCTTCGCTGTGTAATTGTTAGCGCTGTCCTTGGCATAGTTTGGGCTTGTACCAGGTCACAATCAAACAAAACCCAGGCTTGGCTTGGATGATGACGTGATCCATGGATCATTCTCAATAGGCAGTACATATCAGACCACCTTTTTTTCTTTTTTTGTGGGAGAGAAGAATGGGTTTAATAATACGGATGTGAGCTGCTGGTTACCACTTGCCTCTGGGGCCAGAGAATGGGTCATAGTCTGTTTAATTTACTCATAAAGATGTAGTCATTGCAGTCAAAGAGATAATGGCTATTGTCTTTGCGGAGGCAAAGCCTCTGTCTTTCTGCTTCATACCTCTCAATGGTGGGCTTGCAGGTTTACAAAAACTACAGTTTCCTTTTAAGCAAGGATCCAGCATTGCGCAGTCTAGAAATCCTCATTTTGCTGGAGCCTAAAATTAAATAATCAAAGAATGATGAAAACAAAGCAAAATACAGTCTGATACGTAGACAGAGTGAAATGCCATTTCAGTTGTAAACAGTACCTTTTATGGGCCAGCAAAATTATTTTGAAGAAACAAACCAAGGTAGTATTTCAGAAAATCATTGTGTTACATATTTCTTTCTCTCGCAATACAGAAATAGTACAGTAATAGTAGCTAGTAACTAACAGCAATGTAGTTGTTAACTGGACGGTTTAAGGATATAACTGAGCTAACATTTATTGGGATAGGAGACGTATTTCTCAGACTTAATAACATTCTTTCATGTTTTCCAGTCCACTACCAACTAATGAACTCTGATTTCTTTATCCTAGTTGGCTATACTATGAATGATCTGATATTTGAGTGGTTAAGTGATGGGCCTGTGCAAGTTGCAGAAGGTTTAACCTTACCACAGTTTATTCTGAAGGAAGATAAAGAACTTGGTTATTGCACAAAGCATTACAACACTGGTGAGCATTATTCTGTTTATTCTATTAATAATTGTGCTTAATGGTATCTGTGAGCAATATGTAAAGGGAGAAAATGGGTGAAATGAGAACAAAGTATTTTGAAATTTGAAATTATTTTGAAGTTTGGCTCAGTCAAGATTTTTTTTAAATTTGAAAAAAAAAAGTGAAATCTTCTATTTTTTCTGGCTTGTTTGGAAGATATTTTCTTTCCAAGCATCCCTGAATTTCATTTAAAAATATTCTAATTGATTTTAAAAGATAAAATTTTTAAAAAAAATCTCATTGCTTTGATTTCTTCAAAATGCAACATTTTTATCACATTGCATCTTTTTCTTAAGTATTGATTCATCAGTTTTAAAATACTGATTTTTCTGAACTTGATATATTTCTCCAGGATTTCAAAGTGCCAATGAGGACAAATATGAAATTTTCACCATTTTTTATGTATTGTTTGATTTATGAGATGTAGTATTTGAAAATATATTGCTTTCGTTGCTGATCTGGATAGTGTACAAATATGAAACGTTGAGAAATGAAATATTTGCTTAAGAATGTAATATTTATCCTGTATTTGCCATTAAAAAGCCGAATCAGTGTTTTCTATCTTTAGCTTTACAGAGCAGAGAGCTCTGTTAAAATTTGGATTTAGCTGCTTGGAGTCTATTTAATAGGGACAACATTTAGAGATTTTTGTGAACAGTTTGCTGGGTGTTTCCTGGGATTAGACATAATCCTTCTCATCTAAAATAGCTTTTTCATCATTTCAGCGTAAGAGCCAGTCTGGTTGCACTAACTTTATTTGTTTCATTCTGTGAAATAACATAACATGAGAGCTTCTCTCTCTGTTAGAAAAAAAAGTCACACTCATTTCTTATGAAAAGAAAATTATTATTTTTTTAATTTTTATAAATACTGCTTCTCATTTTGGGGCCCAAAGTGCCAGGTTAGGAAAACTTTGTGATGCTCAGTCCAGTGGCTGTGGAGAGGAGGACTGCTATGACTGCCCATCTTTTCTCACACTCAAAGAGAATAATCAAGAGTAAATTCCAATAAATAGAGGTTACTGCTTGTAAATTGACTGACACAAAATTTAGCCATTCCTCGCTGCATGACTTGAACTGAATAGGTGAGCTCAGCTGCTTTTCTGATTACTTACAGTCAAATAACCACTCTGCAAGGTGTGATACCAACAGTAAGAGAGGAGGGAGAGAAGGGGATGCGCCCCTCAAGGCGACGGCTTCCTCGTATACCCATGGAGATTTCCTGCAAAGCATAAAAACACCAATTAGTAGCTCCCACTCCACGGGATGAAAGCTCCTAATGAAAAGTTCAGAGCGTGTAGCACGGTGAGGGGAACTGAAAAGTAGTATGCAAAGGAACGCTTTGCCTACAGGCGTCCGTGTTACCGTCTCCTCTGTAGCACGCTCCTTCAGATTTGGAGTTCAACTGCAATGCCAATAAAAGCTCCAGTTTTGGGCTGTGGCCTTCCCCCGGCGCCTGCTCCCCTGGCCTGGCAGCGTGAGGCGCGCAGTCCAGGTTGCGGCACCCACGGTCGGACGGGGCTATTTCAACACCATCCCTGCGTGCGGGGCCACCCCGCTCCCCTTCCCCAGACCTGCTCTGTGCTCAGACCAGGCAGCGTCCGTCACTACCCAGGTCCCAGAGTCTGTCTTTGGGGTCATAGGTCAGGTGACTAATTTTACAGCTTGTCGTCCAGCTGAAAGCGATTATTCAGTTCTTCCCCCCACCCTCTTTGCCACACAGCCTCTGCGTTTTCCTTTGTGCCAGCCCTCGCACTTGTCTGACCCTGCTGCCCGGCCTTCCAGACTAGCAGAAAAGCATGTGTTTGTCACAAAAAGGAGCAAAAATCTGATTTCACCTGCAGAGGATGAACGAGGGACAATGCATTTGGCCGATAAACACAGAAAGACTTCTTCAAAACGATAAGCATGACATTACGCGGACGAGTTAATGTACACGGGTTAGTCTGCCTTGAGTGGGAGCCTCTGCAGTACCTAACTGCAGTCTCAGGATACACAGTAATTTGGAGCAGCACAAAATGAGTGAATCAGTAGCTGACGAGCTATTGCAGCTTGGGATGTTGCACCCCCACTGCGTGACTAGCTCCAGTGTCCGGAGGTCTTAAAACTTCTGTGCTCCTCTGCCCCAGTAGAGTATCTCTCTATTGTTTAAAGAATCACTTAACTTACACAAGAGATTTTTGTGGATTTATTGGAGTTGGACTCTTGGCAAAACTCAAAGCAGGCTTTGAGCTGATACTGCTGTGAAAAGTAATCCACAGACACAGGCAAATGACATGATCAGAATGATACAGGGTGTAATCTACCATACGAGCATAGAACTAATTTTTTGCAGTTTGTCTATATACTTACATGTTTGTTTAATTTTGTGTAATTAAAAGAGTAAAATATTTTCACCTTTTAATACTAAGCATTGTATTTGACTAATGTAAAATGTTATTAAATTTTGAGGAAAAAAACATTAAATTATATTTTCTGGAAGTGAAACAACTGTACTACTGTTCATTTTCGCAATTCATTTGAAGAATTAGGCACAGGTCTGCTTCAGAATTTCTGTGGGAATATTGCGTGGTCATCTCTAGCTAGAGTGCAACAAAGGGCTGAGTCATATTTGTATATCAGGACCTGTTTTTAGTGTTAGATTAGAAAATAGGCCAGGCAGCTAACTTGTTTTCCGAAAATAAGATGAAAATGTGCAAAAAGCATTTATGAAAGTAATTTCATGTTCTAGGAAAGTTTACATGCATTGAAGTCAAGTTTCATTTGGAGCGTCAGATGGGATACTATTTAATCCAGATGTACATTCCTAGCCTGCTGATTGTCATTTTGTCCTGGGTTTCTTTCTGGATCAACATGGATGCTGCTCCGGCTAGAGTCGCACTGGGTATCACTACAGTTTTGACAATGACTACTCAAAGTTCAGGATCCAGAGCGTCCCTCCCAAAAGTAAGGCAATCATTTTATATTATCAGTTTGTTATTACCAAGAAATATTTGTGCTACTTTTTTTTTGATGTTTCTGAAAGATCTGTGTAAACATATATCTGACAAGAATACCTGAAAAGGGGTATCGGTATGATGTTAAATTTTTGCAAAACCCTTATGTTTGGGTTGAGGAGGGTTTCTGTTGGCTTGTGGAATGGTCAGAGGTTTCAAAGCTATGGATTTTTAATGAGTTAGTTACTGCTAGTTTTCACACTTATACTTCAGAATTTAGAAGCCAGATTTACTAAAGGGCTTATGTTCCTGACAGAATTTCTGAAAGTACCTTCATGAAAATTAGGCAGTTAATCTGACTGGGGCCTTTGTAAGCTCTACATGTCTTTTCTGGGCTGTTAGGCTCCAAAACATCTTGCTACAGCTAGATACTGTGCTTAGTCTGCTGCATATATAAATATATATAGAGAGAGTATATATATATTTTTATATATATAGTCTGTATATATATATTTATATAAGCAATTGAAAGGTGTCTCTGGAGAAACTTTCAGTGACATACTGAGGGCTGGTGTCTTTCTCTACTTCATGGCAGAATTATCTGGTTTCTCATTCAAGTGTTGCTCCCAGTCTTCCATCCTGTCTACCCACGTAAGGTCCCTCTCACCTGAATTTTCTGGTTTTTTTAATCTAGACCAGCTGCCTTAGGTGGGATTACAGATTGCAAACTCTATTCTTTGTTCAGTTGGTTTGACAGCTCTTCTCAGCAGGGGCAGGGCCTTAATGATACTCCTGGTAGCATTCCAAGACGTAGACATAATTTCACTGGCATGCTCAGGTTTAGTACAATTTCCTAGAAGAGAATTCAAAAGTAGATCAGTTCACAACGGTCTAAGGAGTTGTGAGGTATGCTCCCTGGAGTGTATTCTTTACAGGAGTCCAGTATCACAAGGTCTGGGATGACAAAGCTGTGCTAGCAACAGTGAAAGCACAAATTGTGTGTGTTTGTATAGATTAAGAACCATTCCAGAAAGCACTTTGTATTTGATTCTACAGTATCATATTTAGTATCATTCCAAATACTCTATTTTTTCATATGGATCATATAAAGGGTATTAAAAAAAACTACACAGACTGTGTTACTCTTCAGTTAGTAATGACACTTTTTTCAAAATCCTGTCTCTATATTACCAAGATAGAGGAAGTTAGGCTGTCAATAAAATATCTGTTTTAAAAATTGCTCCAAGCATAAATATCTAACAGAATAAGAAATGACAGGAGCATTATTTTTGCAAGAGTTCTGAAACAACATACACAACCTTGATGTGTGAAAGCAGCCAAAATTTGAATACAATAGTTATATTTGTTTTTTCCATCCTCTTTATTAAAAAATACTTGCCTTCTTTGTGCTCTGTTCTTATTAACATGCATTTAAAGAGCTTAACTTTACCTTTATTTTACTCACTTATTCTTCTTATTACTAATTCTTCTTATTTTTCTCTCTTTTATTAAAGCTTTGTCACAAAAAAAATGTAGTATTGAAATTCACGAGCTTTAAAGGCAATAATTCCTTTAGCTAAAGGCAGCTAATAAAAAAATGCACAGAGGATATCCCTAGTTAGTTCTTTTGTCAGTTTTCAACATATTATCTAAATGATTAAAAAATCATACTATTTAGAAGTAATTACCTGAACATTGTTCTCAACCTAGGTATAAGACCACATGACAGTTCTGTTTCCTTTAAATTGTTATTCTCCATAATAATAACTAATATTAATTTTGATGCATAATTTTTTGTAATAGTAGGTCGTGGCAACACAGACGTTGGTCATAAAGTTACTGAAAATTAAACATGAGCTTGAGGCTGCCAGAAAGGCAAGGCAAGGCAAGGCAAGGCCTGGCAAGGAAGAAAAAGAGAAGAGAAGGAAACAAAAGGAGGAAATCAATTCCACTTGATGCTCAAGTGTGCTGCACATAAGAGAACCATCTAAAAACTTTCTTCCAAACAAAATACATTTCTTTCATGAATTTTCTTATTCCTTCTGTGGAATTATGATCTTTATAGTGTATTGAAATGGTGGCTAAGAATATAGGGTCAAATTCTGATAACAATAAAACAGTATTAAATAAATCAATATGCATTTTTCCATTTTCTCCTACAAAGCTGAATTTTGGTTACAAAAAGTAGCAATAAATCACGAGATGGTTTCGATCCCAACAAAGCTACCGTTCTAAGAAGCAAAAGCTGCGGTTTCAGAATGCAGACAAGTTCTCTTCCTCTACAGTTTGGCAAAATTAGAGAAATACTGAGCCCTGCTTCCTTCATGGAGATGAAATAATGATTTTCTACATAGAGAATACCAGCAGACAAATACTGACCCTGGTCTCACTCTCTTTTGGTAGTGATGAAGTAATGTTGTGTTTGTTACAGAAGACTGGTGAGGGATGGTGTGAACAGATGTCACCCTTACCATCAGCGGCTCTGTTACGGAGTGAAAGGAAAGCTGGGATTGAATAACTCCTTCCCTTCAGTTTGGCTAATCAGTTCCTGGGAAAGCCAGGAATGCAGATCCATAATAGCTTGATTCATAGGATCAGTTCCCCTTCCTGCATATTCGCTTATGCAATCCTTGTCCACATCTGATATTCTATATTCAGGTTCTTCTGGAAATGTCGTCATTTGCGCTTGGAAATTTTGGCTAGATGAATGTCTATTCATCCAGCTAGACCAGTAGCTCTTGCTGATTGGCCAGCTGAACAGAAATCCTGGGTGTGACCAGGATAATCAGCTCAGCCACATGTCCACAATGAGACTGCCAGAAAACACTGAATTTTGCAAGCCCTGTGTATGAGCTCAGGAGCTCCCTTGTATCTAGGGTGGGCTGGAGTTCATCTGTGCAGCAGACTCTACAGCATGCAGATCAGGAATCTGATGTAACCTACCACTGCAAAAGGTACCTAAATTCATGCACTACTCAGTGCGTGCTTAGATTCAATGTCTTCTGGAAGAAGAAACGCTGCACAAACATGACAGCTTACATTCATCTGTAAATGCACTGAGAAACTTCTGGGCATCATGAGAGGTATATAGACATAGAATATGCTGTTACATACTTTACGGTTCCAGCAATGTACAAGCTGGGGGAGTATAGAGGAGAGTATCAAGGTATAATATTGCAGAAATCATGAGAAATGCTAGAAAAAATATCTTTAGAGTATTGAATTACTATTCTCTCGCTATTCTATTTATTTTTAAACAGCTTCCCTTTTGTTGAGTCAACAGAATCAAAAGTTTTAAAGTGTTTTAGAAAGTGGTATTTGAAAGAATAATGGTTCTCTGCTGTGCTAGCAATTGGGTATTATTCAGATTGCTTTCTTAAAACATACATATAAACTAAACCTTAGCAACAACAGTCCAAGACAGTGAATTACTTTTCAAGCCATAAAGCAAAATATTTGAGGATAGTTTAACTCAAGTAAGTGGTAGCAACTGTATTTTACACAGTTGTATAGCATTCATATTGTGTTACCTTTATGTGTAGTGCTTAATGAATGCAAGTTCCTTCCCCAGGGAGCAATCTCTGCTGAAAAAGTCTCATTCAGAACTCACTGAAACTACTGGGACAACTTCCATTCACTTCATTGTGCTTCAGATCACTAAATGCAGTACTAAATGTGATAAAAGTACTATATCCTAATAGGTGCAGAGACCTGCAAGTCCAAAGTCAATGAAATCTATATTCTTTGGCAGTAAATTACTGTTTTTAGGTGTCGTATGCATCCCCAGCATTTTTGGCTGCTTTTCAGGATTCCTGGGCTTCTGGCAGGCGACTCTGAGAAGTAATCTCTCCTTTTCAAATGTGAAAGTTATCAAATAAAGAAATTACAAGAACCCAATACAGTTGTGATTTCGAACTTAGGTTAAAATAAAGTTGTAATAAAAAAAAAAAGTGGGGAAGAGATGAGGAGAAATAACAATAAAAAAAAAAGGAATAGATACTATTCTCAGAAATCTTATTATTCCTTGTTTATTTGTTTTCATATGAAGTGGAGCACCTAAGTTGATAGCTTACTCTTTTATGTAATAAAATCATATTATCTAAAGCATCTTCTGGTACACAAAGGTAATATTTTTTTGGCACAACGATATTATAAAAACAATAACAAAATAACTTAGAATTCAAGCAATTTTTGAGAGAAGATTACTTTAACTTTAGTCTTAGTATCTGAGAAGGAAGTGTAGGATACAGTGAATTCAGCTATTATGAGATATATTAATTGGCACCTGGGTTACGTGGATGTCTGAGCACTTGACAGACTGTTTAAATGATTAGGCCAACTCTGTTCTTATTAGTTATTTACTGTGAAGACCTGATGAACGTAAAACCCTACCATGATTAAATGTCTGTTTTACGCTACCTGTTTATTGGTTCTGTTGGGGCAACTTTAGATAAAGCTTCCAGTTTTTAAAAGTTTGTTAAGGGGGCTGGAGTGGAGTTAGAAAGGAGTTCTCAGAAAACATCCCAGTGGCTTCCCGACTTTTTTGACTGTAAGAAAGATGAGCATGCTGACCAAACCCTTAGGAAGCCAGGCTGCACTGTCAGCTAACCACAAGGACATACTCTTCAGTCATGTGCACACATGGAAAGGTTTTAACACTTATTTGTTTTGTTTGTTTGCCATGTTTTTACACGTCCTTCTTTTCCCATCCCATTATAGTCTTGATGTATAATTCGTATAATAACATACTCCTTCTTTTACTTACTTTAGGGGAATTTGTTAGCTCAGGGAAACCTGGTTTAGCTGGATCCTCTTTTTTTGTGCTTGCAAAGCTACATATCACTAAATCTTGGATTCAGACTATGTTTTTGAAGTCCACTGTCATATTCCATGCCATACTTGAAATTTGATACATAAGTTTATTCTACACTACTCAACAAAGGAAATTCTATAGACTGGAACAGTCTTTTTCAACAAAAACATTTCAAAGTAAAACAAGGGTCACAAAAA